ATAAATTTTTCTACAACCTTGTACTCATAATGGATCAAATGTTGTGTGCATACCTATTTTACTTTGAGTGCATAGATCCCTCCTCTAAAGAATCACAAGTTTTGTTGATGCTAGAAATTGGCTCGATGTCGTTTTACTTTTTTCTTGTTTGAGTTCAACCTGTGACAGGCAAGTCTTTTTCCTTAGGGAAAGTTTCAAAAGTTAAGTTATTAAACTATTAAAAAAAAGTTATTAAACTTTTTAGAGAGATAAAATTATGAGAATTAGCTTTCCAACCCTAAAAAAAATTTAGTATGTATAGAAAAGTTGACTTCATCCTCCTATCATGACCTCAGATAGACCTTGGACCTTAATGGATTTTTGTACACCTGGAGCCTCTCTCCCTTCTGAGCTGAAGTCTAACTTTACACTAGGGCTTGAATGTTTGGGTCTAGGCCCGATACTTGGGCCTAGTATTTGTCAATTCTACTGCTACATATGCAAAAGAAGGCTGTGTTTTCTTCTTCCTTCCTTGTATGTTCCTGGTTGGTGTAGGAACCTTAAAATCCAATTTAGTTGGGAAGTGAAAGTGAGGAGGCTTTTTACCTCGATTTTCAGGCTTTCTCCTTTTTCCTCATCCGGTTTGTAACTCAAAAACAAGAATAATAAAATAATATAAGTTGATGAAACTTTAATCTAGTGATTAAAATTAAGATTGAAACCTCATAACGTAAAAATTTTAAATTCTAATTCCTCTGTCTGCTGCTTTTTGCTTATTAAATCTCATTCCACCCGCCCAGTTAGGAAAAAAAAAAATATAATTATCTAGTCAAGTCAACGGAACTGATGGTTTATGAGAATTTCATATAGCTCGCCTTTATATTTTCAAAATTGCACTTATCTCTTTTATCTTGATGCTTGTTAAATATTTTCTTACATCCCCATGGTAGAGAAATATCAGACAACATAAACCCATGAGTGCGACTTTTTTCTTTTCTCTTCTTGCATTACTTTTATTGTTCTTATTTCCCGGTTACCATTTACAAATTTGTCGTCCCGATTTTTTGCTTCATTTTTATGTTGCTATAATGAATAAGATAACGGTTACTTGTTGCATATGAAATCCATTTGCATGTCTCTTCTTCCTCTTTTTTTTTGTCAATCATTATTTTATCTATAGTATCCTGCATTATTCTAATCTAAGGGAAGACCCAACTGGGTCTAAGAGATCGGTAGAGACTGAACTACCACCGAACCAGACAGATGTACTATGCACCTATCTGAATTTTTTAAGAAACCACTTAATATGACAATCTGAACCCTTGCCTCCCACTCCACCAAACTTTTAATAGTTTAGTGGTGGCCAATAGTCCAAGGCTAGTAGTTATTTGCATGTCCCTTCGGTACAACAAAGTTTGTACATCCTTCGGTATCATATATGCAAGAAATGGAAATTTTATAAATCCGAGAGGGACATGCTAAGAAATTAGGTGTCAAGTTTCACAAGAGGGCAATGCACGCCATTAAAAAATCTACTCCAAATTTATTTGCCAGATACGGTCAATTTGGTCAACTAGCAACAATTTAAGAAACCATTAATAACAAATATTGACAGTTTAACAAGTAGTTAACACTGATTACTTAAGCTGATAGTGATAACCACACAACTTATTGGACCGGGGCAAGACCAATAAAAGAGGTTAGAATGGAAGAATCTAAAACTGAAATTTAGAGTTGTGCTTTAGCGTCGTATACTAGTAGTATTTACCCTCATTAGGCACCTAAAAACTTTTTAAACTACATTATGCTAATTGTACATCAAATGTTAAAAAAAAAGAAGAAATATTGTATGGCTGAGTTGACTATAAGTCAACGGCTTAGCAGCCTAGCAATCTACTAAATAAATACCGACCTTTTCCCATGCTGGTAGAAGTTACCAGGAAAATGGCAGCTGAATAGATTGACCGGTTTGGTCACGGAGCATGGTCCAATTGTATGGCTGAGTTGACTATAAGTCAGCGGCTTATCAGCCTAGCAATCTACTAAATAAATACCGACCTTTTCCCATGCTGGTAGAAGTTACCAGGAAAATGGCAGCTGAATAGATTGACCGGTTCGGTCACGGAGCATGGTCCAATTGTATGCCTGAGTTGACTATAAGTCAACGCCTTATCAGCCTGGCTACTAAATAAATACCGACCTTTTCCCATGCTGGCAGAAGCTACCAGGAAGTGGCAGCTGAATAGATTGACAGGCTTGGTCACGGAGCATGGTCCAATTGTATGGCTGAGTTGACTGTAAGTCAACGGCTTATCAGCCTAGCACGGTCCAATTGTAAATTTTGGTTTCGAGGAGTGGAGTCTATGTAGGACTTTTTTAAAAAAAAAAAATTTCTGATATAGAGGAGAGGTAGAATTTAAAAAACGGGAAGATGACGGGACTAGACGTGAGATTTAAGGAGCGAAGACAGGAACAGAGAAGGAATAGAAAGAGATGTGAGATTTAAGAGGCGCGAACGGAATAGAAGGATTAGAACTAAGAATTTCTAATTCGCAGAATCTCAACTTCAACCGTTAGACAAGGCCCGTTTTAGATATTAGCCTAAGACCTCTTCGACCACAGGTGTCACGCCCCAAATTTGGGTCCCTGAACTGGATTAGCAATGTGGCACGCCGTATCTACGAGACTTCACTCCCATAAATACAAGGCATCATAGTCATAACTTACAAAATTTCACTAAAATTTAAAACTTACAAATAATAATAAAATATATACACTTCACTAAATTGCATCTACACAATGCTTTACTCCAGCTTCCTAGAATTTAAACATTTACTTATTTACCTCTTTTACTTATCTTCTAAACGTACACGAATTGGCTTTCTTGATCTGCAAGAAAAATAAAGAGATGTGGGTTGAGCGACATACGCCCAGTAGATAGTACTTACTCCCATGTCGGATCATGTAGCTATACACATATTATATACATTTGCAAATTTGATCACACCATATCACATATATACATCAGTTAAAAACCTTTGTCATCACATTTCAAATATTATATAAATATATTTCCTTGAAGGCGAGAGTTGCATGCACATAAGTGGCCTCCATCCGATGTGGCACTTAGTCCTACAGGTTCTAGAAGTGGCTCCAACCGAATGTGGCATGAAAACACATATAACATGACATGATCATATTTATTGAATATACTTGCAAATCATAAAACATATCAATCTAGAACCTGCAGGACTAAGTGCATGTAATTGTTTATCAGCTATGACATGATTTTACATGTACTTGTTTATGAGCTATGTTATTTATTTATTTATCTACTTATTTATTTAATTAATCATTTAACTTATTTATATATTTATTTACGTTTGTAGAAATTGCCTGCATTAGATTGGGTTGAATTTGAATTTGGAGTTTGATCTAGAGTTAAACCCACTAATGAAAAAGCTTTGTTTATTTTTATATTTGGATTAACAATATTTTTACTTGTGTTATTAAAAGAGTCCTTGGATTCATTTAGGTCAAAAGGAACCTTTATAATAAGGTTGACTTTATTAAAATAACACACTAGGTTTGATCAAAGTATACTTCTTATAATTGTGTCATTTTTAAAACAACTTATTTTCAGTTTAAGCAAAAATGTTATTTAATCTGCAACTGCTCCAACTCCAAAACTTTTGAGCCACAAAGGAATTTTTTTTCCCAAACTCTAGATTAAGTTTCCATGTCTCGATTCTATGTACTCCGGCCACGGAACATTATGGAATTATCAAGCTATGTCTCTAAATTCATACAAGAAAAGCTAGCGGTACTCCTCTGTATCTATTTCTTGTCTTCTTGGATTCTTAGTTCAAGCAAGTCCAAGTTTAATAGTAGTAGTATCAAATTTAGAAGTTAGCGATGCTAGTAGTAATATTTAATAATGAGAGCCTAGTGACGTGCCAGTTCCGAAATTTCAACAACTAAATCTATCAAAATTGACCAAACTTTTACTCTAATTCCATAAATGTTTTTTTTTTTTGGCTCCTAAGCATGAAAATCTTTGCATGGTAAACAGAAAACAAGGAAATTTAGAAGAAAGTTCATAGTCTTACATGTCCGTTGTCCAAAATGGCAACAAACTCTCTCTCTTTCTGTTCTTTGACGTGAATGGTGGATAGTGACAAGAGTTCTAGAATTATAAATGTTATCAGACTTTGTTTGTAAAGAAATTTTTTATCAAAAAAAATCTCTGCATTTTTCGTGAGCACATTGGGTTTGTTTGGATTGGCTTGATTTCAAATAAAAAAATTTACTTCACAAATTTCAACCACCTTTTTATCTTTCCAATCATCTTTTTATCTCACATACATTACATCACAAAAAGTGCTATAGTAATTATCTCAAATAAATCATGCAAATAAACTCTTATCCAAACAAACTCATTTTTCAATTATTTTTTTTATCTCATATATATCAAGTCCCTCAACATATAACATAACTGCTACAATTTCCATTAGTCTCCATGACTTGTAGCATAACTGCTCCAATTTCCCGCTGCTGAATTTAACTTCCTATTTCCTTCTTTTTCTCCTATCATGTCTAGATGACAATCAGCATATTTGGTGTTTGCCAAACGGAAAAAGAAAAAAATAAAAAATAAAAAGTAGAAATTCGATAGGTTGGTTAGTTAAGTTGTACAGATCGTGAGTTAAATATCAACTCCCACAATCCCTTGGTAGAACATTTACGATAAAATCCCTGAGGAGATAAATGAAGTAGTCACACTACTAGTAAAATAATTAATAATATTAGTCAATTAAATATTTTTAAGCAGAGGGAAATATTGAAAATGTCTGGGGTTTCACAACCGACTATTATCTTGGTGTATACGTACAATATTTTGTTGTACATGTACAAGTTTGGAATGAATTTTGTTGGTCTAAATCAAATATTGCAAGAAGTACAATAATTTGTGTAACTTTATGGAAAATATTATAAGATGTTCCAAAATTCCAAATTAGATCATCTAGTCAACACTAAGACTCGAGGCGGCCTGAGGGAGGGAGTCAACCCTCTTCTAGCGTCAAATAAATATATGTTGTTCTACCTACAGAGATATCTATTCATCCCTATGGCCAAACTGGTACTCAAATTCTTGACAATTGTAATATTATTTCAGGCTGGAAATGGCGACATGCTTCGGCCGGTCAATAATATCACCTTAGGGTCAAGGCTCTACCCTCAAAACAATCCTTATTGGGTTTCCCCTTCGGGCATATTTGCATTTGGTTTCTACGAGAAAGGTGATGGATTTGCAGTTGGCATATGGCTGCAGACTGAACGCATTGTTACATGGACTGCAAATAGAGATGATCCACCTATCTCTTCAAACGCCTATCTGGAGTTGACTGGCGAAGGCAAGCTTCTTGTTTGGACAAAAGACAGTGCCTATGGATTCATCCCAATTGTTTACTACTTGCGAGCACCTGCAACTTCAGCTTCATTGCTTGATTCTGGGAACTTTGTTCTCTCTGATGGTGATAATGTCATATGGAATAGCTTTGACTACCCAACAGACACCCTATTAGCGGGTCAAAACCTTCAGTTGGGCGAGAGCCTAATCTCTAGTGTATCAGTGAGAGATAGATCAAGTGGAAGGTTTAAACTTGTTCTCCAGCACGATGGTAAACTGGCGGCGTATCCAGTGAACGGTACAGGAGCGCCTGATGAGGCTTACTGGTCATACGACGCTGGACTTGAATTTGATGGTTTGTCTCTAGTTGACAGCATAGCGCAGGGCTTGAATGTTTCTGAAAGTAGCAAAACAATGATTTACCGAGCAACCCTTGATGCTGATGGCAATTTCAGGCTGTATGCGCACAGATTAAGTAACTCAAGCATGATGATCCTATGGTCGGCATTGACGCAATTTGATCCCTGTAAAGTAAAAGGATTTTGTGGCCTTAACAGCTATTGCTCATCTAATGTCGGCAAAGGCAACGCTACCTGTAGCTGCTTTCCTGGCTTTATCTACCGTGATCCGGATCCTGATAAGAAATTCCTGGGATGCTACAGAAACTTCAGTTATGAAAGAATATGTGGAATTAGGAAAGATGATTCATTGTCCAACAAATATTACTTAATCCCGATAAAAAACATGGAAATCGGGGGCGATCCATATGTTAGTATTCCAATGGTTCAGGGGGACTGTTGCAAGTCTTGCATAAGTGATTGCAATTGCTGGGCTGTTCTACACGCAAGTGGTAATTGCAGCAAGTACAAGCCTCCTCTCCTGTATGCAACCCAAGATCAGAACCATTCAGGGGTAGCTTTCATCAAGCAGAGTCACAACAGTTTCCAATCTGCAGAGCCAAAAGGTAAACACAGGAGGAGAATGGTTCAAATTCTTGCACCTCCATTTGGCTTCCTATCATTTATATTTACTCTGCTTGCAGTCTTGAGCTACTCAATGTACAGAAGGAGAGCTGTTAAATACCAGAAGCTCTTAAAAATGGAAAACTTCGGCCTAAATAAGGAGTTTACTCTTCGGTCATTCTCCTATAATGAGCTCGAGAAAGCTACAAATGGATTCAAAGAGGAGATAGGGTGCACTTCCTATGGGAAGATTTATGGAGGAATCATATCTCAAGGCGATAGAATTGTTGCTGTAAAGAGACTAGAAAAAGTTGACGACGAAGGAGAGAGGGAATTCATAGCTGAAATGGCTGCTATGGGGCGAATTCATCACAAGAATGTTGTTCAACTAGTGGGCTTCTGCTTGGAGGGTGCTAAAAAGCTCCTTGTATATGACTTTACGAAAACCAGATCACTGGCAGAATGTCTCTCTGATGTCGAAAAAAGACCCTTTTGGAACCAAAGAATGAAACTTGCATTCGACATAGCTCAAGGGATTCTTTATTTGCACCAGGAATGTGATACACATATCATCCACTGCAATATTAGGCCGGAAAATATACTAGTGGGTGACAATTGGACAGCTAAAATAGCTAATTTCAGTTCTGCAAAGCTTCTAATTCCATATCAAAAGCAAACTCTGGCCTTGGAGAGACAGAGAAGAGGATACTCGGCGCCAGAATGGCAGAAGAAAGCCTCTGCATCAGAGAAGGTAGATGTTTATAGCTATGGAGTTGTGCTGTTGGAAATAATTTGTTGCAACACTACTGAGGAAATTAATGTTCAAAGCCCAGATAATGACTTTTCTACTAGGGTGTACAATTATTTTATGGGCAAACAATTGAGAAAGCTCATTGGAGATGAAGAGGTAGATATGGACTCACTGGAGAGAATGGTTAAGGTTGGATTGTGTTGCATTCATCATGATCCTGATCTGAGGCCATCCATGAAAAATGTGATTCTGATGTTAGAAGGTGCCATTGATACACCAGCTCCCCTTTGTCCAATCTAGTGGTAGGTAGCTTGTATTGCAGACTAGACCAAGATTTTTTTTTCCTTTTTCCTTATGTTTTTTTCAATGTCTTTACGCCTTTTTTTTTTTGCCAACGTCTTTATGTAAAATTGCATATAATTTACCTTAGTAAAAGTTTCCTGTTATATGTGAATGTAAGCAAGTTGTAATAGTCCACAAAGTTTAAATTTATGAAGATTACTTTCTTTCATTATTAATTTAGCTTGCGATAAGCTTCAAACAATTCCTTTTGGATTTGAGGGCACAAGGGGTTGGAATCCTCAGTTTTTAGTGCTGTTGGCTCCGAACTTCAGAAGTAGCAATTATATATTTCCACGACCAAACTTATTGAATGAATTATGGACGTAGGTTTCAAGTGGTTGCTGGTTGGGAGTTGGGACTATGACAGCAATAAATAGTAAAAGGGCGTACAAATATGAAGTGCTTTTAGGGGTATAGAAAAAAATTTCTTTGTCGTTGTTTTTTTTTTCGTCTTATCTCCCTATGAAAATCTCATGTTTTGATATTTAAGTTTTAAAGTATTTATCTCTTAAAGATTTCTCCGGTTCAGTGTACATTCGATAGGTTTGAATGCATGATAAATAATCTAAATTTAAATTTAAAATCTAAAATTGTGCATATGCCTTGTACATCCAATCAGAATAGTTTATACACTAGTAATAAACTTCTTCTTCTTCTTCTTCTTCTTTTTTTCTTTTTTTTTTATGTTGTGCCGTAGGACAAGTATCTCAAGCTGAAGGGATGGCTTACCCTAAAATTCAAACATTATTATCTATCCCTGATTTGTGTAAACTTTTGCACGTAAAATTTAAACTTTTTCGGACAACTAAACACTTAATAATCTTATTGAATCGTTTAAATAACTCGATAAAGTGGTCATTGCATTCCAAACTTACTTAGGCCCCGTTTGAGGTTGCGGTGCTTATGGTAAAAAAGTACTTTTAGGTGCTAAAAATATTTTTACAGTATTTGGTGAATATCATCCCATAAAATTAGGAGTAGAGTTTTTAGTGTTAAAATACTTTTAGCAAATGCTAAAATTTGGTGCTTTTAGAGTAGTTTTTGTAATTAAAAAATAAAATATCAAATTTAATTTTGTTATCCTATTTTATGAACCAAATAGAGAGATAAACACTTTTAAAAATTTTCAAATTACACATTATTCAATACAATAAGTATTTATTGAATTTTGCCTCCAAACAATATATTTAAAAACACTCAAACAGTCAATAAGTACTTTTTATTAAAAGTTTTATTGAACCTATTGAAATGAACCAAAAAAGTCATTAGATGGTCAACTTTATTTACGCAAAATATATATTTCTATATTTTAACAGGATAATGTTGAGTGAAAGAATATGTGCTTCTGCACACAATATCGTCTAGAATCAGACTCTTTGTTTAACTCAGCTCGAGTTGTCTAACAATGGACGGAACTACTTGTCTAGACGATACGACAGTAGTATCTTTTAGTCCACACGCAATAAGATTTCCTAAGTATTCAAAAAGAGAAAATATATACAGTGAATTGTTTTAAGTTGAAATTTTTGGTGATTCCTATACATATATAAAAAGCACTTTGAATAACACTGTTTACAAGTTTTCATCCGACTACTATATGAGTATTTCAGTAATTCCACATGTTGTTCTTAAATTAGTTGTAAATATTGTACAAGTATGCTATACTTTTATTAAAAAGAATTTTGGATGGCACTGTTTACAAGTGTTCATCCGCCTCCCGCATGGGTATTTTAGTAATTCCACATGTTGTTCTTAAATTGGTTATAAAAATTAGGGTTATTATCACTTTACCCCCTTAAACTATATCACTACTATCAATTTACCTCCTAATATTACCTTTTAGTCATTTCACCTCTATAAGTAATTCAACTCAATACGTTAAAAAATTTTGGACAAAAATACTCTTATATTCTATAGCATTATCACATTATTATTATCATTTTATCCCTTGAAATTATAGTGATACAATCGTTTTAATTTCTAACATTATTTTCTAGGCATTTTATCTCATCGTTAATCTAACTAGTATGGTCAAAATTTTTAAATATATTTACCCTTTTTATATATAATTAAAAATAAAAAAGTTGAAATGATTATTCTTCCTTGTTTTTTCACTTTAAGAGATCCAAAAATATTAAAATAAAAGGGTTTTCTCAAAATTTTCAAATTATTGAATATTTAAATTTGTAACTTTAGCCTTTATATTCACCAATCATTAATAATCTTTAAGAATTTAAGCATAGACAACTAAGGCAATGCATACGGAGTTTGTAGTTGAATGGAGTTATTGTAGCCTTTTTTGTTTTATTTTTTAAATTGAAAATGGTTAATCCTGTTTTCATTATCAATTCCATATTCAATTTGAAAGTGAAATGAATTTGGTTATCTCCAATTTAGAATTAAAATAGATTTAAATATTTACAAATCAAATAACCAAATTGATCGAATTTGTATCGTTGCTCACCCTACGTTTTGGTCCGATGGCGGTTTAGTCGCATCCTATTCCAATGATTCAGTTGAATCTGTCCTCTACTTCGTAGGTTAGTAGTAGTTGTAAATAAGCAACAATTGACTAAAAAAAAAGGACAACAGCGTCCGGAAAATGGAGATGGAAGAGAGAAAAATGAAGAGCACAATATGACGGGATACTGGATGTGAAATTCTCTTTTTTGGGCACAATTCTCTCAGATAAATAAAAAAAAAACAAATACTGTCCAACTAATATGAAAGTTGTTTTACTTTTTCATGTCTAGTACTAGTCATATAGAAATCAAAAACCAATTGTATTCGTATTCTTAGTTGAAACTTTAAAAACACACAATTTGTCATTTTTTGGAGTGTTAATGTAAACCCTAAAATTGTGTTTTTTCAAAATTGTTTTTAAAGTGTTACTGTAGACTCCAAAAAGAAAAAAAAAATTCAAAAAAAGTGTTGTGTCAAACGGACTCCATTTCGTCAGAGACAACATGTTTGACTAGTTTAATTGCAAAACGACATTTCGTTTTCTCGTAGATAAGGAAACAACTTGACAATTCCGCTACTGATAATATCCTTAAATTCATTGATCACTCGTTATTTGCCTAGATGGTGATGTTATCTTGTTGATATGTGAGAGGCGCAAGAACGATTGCTGAAGTTTCTTCTCTGCATAATTTAGAGTCCAAAATTGGGATCTAAAAAAAATGTATGGTATCGACAATAAATTATACATAGTTTGCGACGTGATGTGTGAAACTTGCAAAATAGGAATCCTTATCTATATATTTTGTATAAAGTGATTAGCAATGATAAATATATATTGTACAATCTTTAGGAAGCTATGTACGCGTCTCCCTACCCCCACGTGAATGGGTTGGTGGTTGGCGCCTCTTCCTCGGGTCCTCATGTCCCGGGGTCGAATCTCCGCAGCAACATCAGTTTCTCCGTGCATCTAACGTGCTAGGTCTGGTTGGGGCGCTGGGCCGGGCCGAAGTGGGATTAGTCGGCCGCCTTTAAGGACTTGACCCGGACACCCACTCCGTCAGAGAAAAAAAAAAATGTACGCGTCTCCGGTCTCCCTTGAATGTGTGCCATGTCAACGTCCAACCAACAACATTTTGCTATAGATGTTCAATATTGTATCCTAGTGATATGTTGACCTAATCAATATCCAAATAATTTCTCCATAATAGCCATCAAAGAACAATCACTAATCTGAGTTGATGGCTTCTTTAACTGCAGTTTTCTGGATATTTTTCCTTGTTACTGTAACATCTGAAACTGCTGTAGCTCAGCCTGATGACTTGAATATGATACCGTTGGGTTCTTCACTTTTTCCTGTTACTCAGCCCACAGCTTGGTACTCTCGTTCTAAAAGATTTGCGTTCGGATTCTTCCAAACTGGAGAAGGTTACAAAGTCGAAATTCGGATTGTTGGCAGTGGAAATGGTATCACAGTTTGGACTTTCAACCGAGATGAACCGGCAGTATCTTCAAATGCAACACTTGATTTTGTCAACGGCAAGCTTCAGCTGAAACATGGTAATCAATATCAAACTATTGCTGATCATCCTTCAAAATCTGCCCTGTCTGCTTGCTTGCTTGACTCCGGAAACTTTGTGCTGTACGATGAAAATCATGCCTTACTATGGCAGAGTTTTGAGTTTCCTACCGACACAATTTTAGGTGGCCAGATACTTTACAGTGGGAGAGAACTCATCTCTAGCCTTTCTCAAGATGACAAATCGTCTGGCCTATTCCATCTGAAAATGGAGTATTCTGGAAATCTTGTTGCTTATCGTGTAGATGTCACTTCAGAGACCTATTGGGGCATGTTTAATGTGAGCTACAGCAATAATAGTCAGCTGATTCTTGATAATTCTACCGGAACATTGTCTCTGATTGAACCCTCTGATTCTTCTCTCGTGCATGTATTGGCTTCAGCAATTTCACAGATCAGGGGAAATATTTACCGGGCAACACTTGGTTATGATGGAAACTTTAGATTGTATACTCACAGCTTTGATGCAGTGACATTACAATTTAAGATGAGGACAGAATGGGAAGCTATTGATGATCTCTGCGACATAAAGGGCATCTGTGGCTTTAACAGCTATTGCACTAGTAAAGATATGGAGTGGAATTGCAGTTGTATACCAGGGTTCAACTTCATCAGGGACCTCAGCAGCCTGGCCATTAATATCTACGGCTGTGAGAAGAATTTCACCGGTGGAATGTGCATTAACGGCAAGGAAGATGCAGCACGTAACAGCATGACTCCTGTGAGTATATTAGGGGAAGATCGACCTTATTTTCAAGAGTATCAGGGCAACCAAGATGATTGCATGAAGTCGTGTTCAGAGGACTGTGATTGTGATGCAGCTACATATTCCGACTTGCATTGTTCTAGATACAGGCTTCCTCTCATGTATCTCAGAAATGCTACTTTTACATCATCTATTGCTTTTATCAAATCACCAAATCCTCAAAATGATCATCTAAAGAAGGAGGTGTCTTGGTTAACATTTTTTGCAATGAGTCTAAGCTTTGTTACATATTCATCCGTTGTACTCGCATGTTTTGGTATCTTCATGTTTAAGTTCCATGTTCTAAAGTACAAGAAGCTGCTGCTTCAGACCAGAACAACTGGCTTAATCAAAGAATTCACGCTTCAAACGTACACCTATAATGAGCTAAA